CTCAGATCCATCCGCTCGTTCATCTCCCTCATGAATCTCATGAGTTTGGTTTTGAAGGGATCGTTACCGTTATCGTTACCAGATCCACTACCAGTCCCCTCAGCACCGTCAAAGACGACCTCACCTATCGGGGTATTGTTATTAACTCCTTGAGCTGTTTGATTTACATGAATATGGGGAGGAACCAAGCCTCTTCCGTTTGCGTTGTTGGAAGCGCTTGACAACGCTTGCTTCAATTCCGTCATGACATGGTCATGCCTTGAGAGGTGGATCAAGATGGCTTTCTGTTGCTCTCTCAAGATCCATACTATTTCCGCAATGTGCTAATCTTCAGCGTCATCGGGAGCTGGCTCCCGTACATGTCGGGGGTATTATCCTCCATGGACTAGGGTTGCCTCATATTCTTCGTTGCGGATGTCGCTGATTGAATCCTCATGTTGAGGTAGAGTTTCATGTCCCTCCACGCTGTGTGCGATGTTAACATCGTTAGATGCAATTTTCGATTTGTTTCTAAGAACCAAAGAATCAAATAAGTTAATACTAAACGCAAGGATCAACTCAATTACGCAACTGTCTGAGGCCCCCGGTGGGCGCCAAACTGTTTACCCGTAAAATGGTATAGTTAAATTTATTATGTGGTTTATAGACAAGCGAATTGATTTGATCCAAAAATAATGAATAAACAAGATTAAAAAGAAGACTTAGCTATTAAAATCAAAGAAAATGACAAACTTGGCTCTGATATCAGTGCCTTCGGGTACAGAAATAAGAATAATATAAAGAGTAATATAGAGTTATTTTATTGCGCTTGAGAATGGAATATAACATAAGTTTTGTCAAGGATTTCGTGTCCTACAATGGCTGTTGAGTTTACTATTTATAGCTATACCTAGGAAAACAAGATCCTAGGATCAAGCTCCTTTTAAATAACAATAAAGTGGCCATCGATGAATATGTAACGGCAGGCCATGAATGCAAATATTCTCTGCAACGACTGCCCATTTAATGCCATGGAATATTCTTCAATTAATGTTATCTGATGGCAAGCATTTGATCTGCTCACATTGATCATGCCCCATTTGGGGTCTATCCGATGTCAATTGCAGATGTTGCTCTCGGTACTGGTTATTACACGATATGATTTCTACCTGTCTTTGGTTCCACGTGTCGCGCTACCATTCGATCACTTAATGTACACTAACCATATATATATATATATATATATATATATATATATATATATATATATATATATATATATATATATATATATATTATTTTGTTAGGTGGTAGTCATGATTTTCTTATCTTATTTGGTTTTTCTATCTTTTGAAGAATGAACAACATATTTACTATAATTAGTTTTTTCTTTTGCGAAAAAATTTTGCTAGTCCCTTTTCTTGGAGAAAAATATTTTGGTCTTCTATAGATTGAGGATCCGTCCTTCTCATTTAGGAGTATCCACAATGTAGTTCCTAAGGGGTTGAGATTCTTATATAGAGGGAGAATTTGTGAGGTAGGTGTTATGTAGTCACTTGTGTGTGCCTCTTTTTGAGGTTATTCTCTGGATATTTTGTACTCTCTTTTATATAGTAGATTGCTCATCTCCGCATGTGGATGTAGGTCAATTGACTGAACCACATTAAATGTTTGTCTCTTTTAGTATATTTCTCTTTTGTTGTCTTATTTATCATCGCTCAAGGTTTGCTTTACTAGCTTCCGCATGACACCTGATTATTTCGATCCTAATAAGTGGTATCGGAGTGAGGTTCAAGACAGGTTCATCTTGGCAGGTTTAGTTCTAGCCGTAACTTATTTGACTTTAATCATGATTTTGGTCTGAGAAATTTGACCAGAGGGCTACTCACATTGAGACAAACTTTATGGTGGAATTTGAAGATGCGGCCTATTGAATGTTGTGTGAAGAATGTGGATCAAGTTTATTTTGTCAGAAGATTTAAGCCAAGGGAGAGAATTGTTAGGTGCTTATTTTGATTTCTTACTATATTTGGTTTTTCAACTTCTTGAAAGAAGGACAACATATATAACATAATTGATTTTACCTTTTACGAAAAGAAAAATATAATTTTACTATATTCGGATAGTCCTTTTTCTTAGAGGAAAATATTTCGTACTTCTATAAATTAAGGATCGCTTCTTCTAATTTAGTAGCATCCACAATGTTGTCCTTAAGGGGTTTGAGAGTCTTGTTTAGGGGAAAACGTTGTGAGCTAAGTGTAATGTTGTCACTTGTGTGTGCCTCTTTCTGAGGTTATTCTCTCAATATTTTGTACTATGTTTTATATAGTAAATTTCTTATCTTCGTTTATGGATGTAGGTCAATTGACTGAACCACATTAAATATTTATATTTCTTTTGGTATATTTTATTTTTGTTATTTGATTTATCGTCATTCAGAGTTTGCTTTAGCTTACACGTAACACCTAATTATTTCGATCCTAACGTATTTGAGAATCTTGGAAGATTAATAACATTACTATCTAACTCTAGCTCTCGTACATTTGAATCTTGGAAGATTAATAACATTACTATCTAACTCTAGCTCTCGTACATTTGAATCTTGGAAGATTAATAACATTACTATCTAACTCTAGCTCTCGTACATTTGAATCTTGGAAGATTAATAACATTACTATCTAACTCTAGCTCTCGTCATTAATGTACGTATCAACATCCATTTATTTTATTCAAGTAGTCAATATAAAATTTTCTAAGAAATTGTTTTTCCACGTGTCCAAGAAGATCTTTTTTACCAACCGAAAGAGAGAATAAATTCTGTTGTCGGTATATTTGTGTTAAGTTGGTAAAAATAAGAGTTCAATTAAGAATCCTGTCTATCATCTGAATAGCTTGAATATCCGTATAGTGAAAGCTAAGGTTCCTAGAAGAGAGGTAAGAAGTACACATTTAATAATTGTTGACAACGGAAGTTTGGTAAGAAGTACACACCTAATAATTGGTGTCAACAGAGTTAAATCTATTGTTGTCAAGACTTTTCCCCTTTTACTTTCGGATATTGTTTATATTGAAACTTCATTATATTATTCGGTCAAATTTATCTTTACTATTATATTATTTAGCTAAATTTATCATTACCATCAATAAATTTTTAAAAATTACCTCTCAATCCGTTAGGTAACCCAAAATCTCCTAAATTCCTTTTATTTAAATTATTTATTCTTCTTGATCCACTATTTTCAGAAATTACTATTAATGTGAATGTTAAAGGTACTAAACTATACAAATTATTCATGAATATTTTTAATTACCATTGCACCCACTTTTTTTCTTGTGATAATGGTTTTGGAATTGGTTTAAATTTTTTATAAATTTTCAACCATATTTACACCGCAGAATTCTGTGGGTCTATTTGTTATGTATTATATGTGGCTACTCATCATATATGTACATATATATTCGAATTATTTTTTAATTGTCTAGTTAATACAGAGTTCGATCGACTAACCTACAACAACAACAACATACCCAGTAATATCCCACACCATGGGGTCTATGGAGGGTAATATGTACGCAAACCGTAACCCTACCTTGTGAGGATAGAGAGGTTGTTTCCAATAGACTGTCGGCTTAGGAAAGTATAAGCACTAAATTAATGAAAATATAGATAAGAAGGGACAGTACCAAAAAGTCATATAAAAGCAGAATAAAAAACAACAAGATAGTAAGGCGATCAACAATGAAAGATAACAATGATTAGTCATAAGAACCTACTACCAACAGAAAGCAAGATTGCATGCCAATACTACTGTTATACATACTTTAGACTACCTACTCTACTACCCTAATCATCGACATCCACATCTTCTTATCAAGGGTCATGTCCTCGATCAGCTGAAACTGCGCCATGTCTTGCCTAATCACCTCTCCCTACCTCTTCTTTGGCCTACTTCTACCTCTCCGCGGGCCCTCCAATGTCAACCTCTCACACCTACTCACCGGTGCGTCTGTGATCCTCCTCCTTACATGACCAAACCACCTAAGTCACGCTTCCCGCATCTTATCCTCAATAGGGGCCACACCCACCTTATCGCGAACAACCTCATTTCTGATCCTATCTAACCTGGTGTGCCCGCACATTCATCTCAACATCCTCATCTCTGCTACCTTCATCTTCTGGACATGAGCGATCTTGACTGGCCAACACTCAGCCCCATACAACATCGTTGGTCTGACCACCACTCTGTAGAACTTACCCTTAAGTTTCGGTGGCACCTTCTTGTCACACAAAATACCGAAAACGAGTCTTTTTTTCATCCATCCCGCCCCAATACGATGTGTGACATCTTCATCAATATCCCCATCCACCTGAATAATAGACCCAAGGTACTTAAAACTCCCTCTCCTAGGGATGACCTGCGAGTTCAGCCTCACCTCCCCTTCCCCTCCTTGAGTCTCGCCACTTAACTTACACTCCAAGTGTTCTGTCTTAGTCCTACTCAACTTAAAACTTTTAGATTCCAAGGTCTGCCCCCATATCTCTAATTGCCCGTTCACAACATTTCACGTCTTGTCAATCAGTACAATATCATCTGCAAATAGCATGCACCACGGCACCTCCCCTTGGATGTGGCGCGTCAGTATGTCCATCACGAGAATAAACAAAAAAGGATTGAGTGCCAACCCTTAATGCAACCCCATCATAACCGAAAAATGGTTCGAGTCCCCACCCACCATCCTCACTCGGGTCTTTACTCCATCATACATGTCCTTAATCAACCTAACGTATGCAACATGTATACCTCTAGCCTCCAAACATCTCCACAAAACCTCCCTCGAAACTTTATCGTACGTCTTTTCTAAGTCGATTGACTAACTTAGTAATCAGAAAAATAAAATAAATATATTATTGCCGCATGTTAAAATACAGTGATAGCGTAAATTTTTTTATACAATCAATATATATAAGTTAAATTCGTGTCTATATAGAAGCCCTCTACCAATATTTCCACAGTGCATTAATTCCCCTCCTTTTGTTGTGAGAAAGTTGCCAAAGTTTCTAATAAATAAAAAGTAGAAGCAACTGAGAAATGGTGAGGGCACCTTGTTGTGAGAAAGTTGGGCTAAAGAAAGGAAAATGGACTGCTGAAGAAGATGAGTTATTGGTGAATTATATTCAAGCTAATGGAGAAGGTTCATGGAAATCTCTTCCCAAGAAAGCTGGTAATTAGTTAAAAATGTTAATTTTTTTTCTTCTTTTCAAACTTCGGATTTTAGTTGGATTAATGCTGGTAATTATATAACTGTAAAAATGCCTAATTGGTTGGGATAAATACATTTATATTAAAAAATAAAATAGAATTCTCGAAAGAAAGTTAACATTTACTAATTAATAGATGCATAATGTTTTAGCATTCTAGAGATAAAACTTCTCTTTAATTAGGGTGTGTTTGGTACGAAGGAAACCGGCTTCCGGAAATTAATATATGTCATTTTCTAGCAACTAAATTTTAATAAAGGGGTATATTTTGAATAGTTTCTAAATTGTAGAAGGTGTTGGTTACTGAGACAAAGTCTTTTTTTTGAAAAATATTAATTTACAAATAGTATTTTTAAAAAAATATTTTTCTACATATCAAACACACCCTAGGTTTCCTTAGTGCAACTGCCCAAGTACTCCAACCATGGGAATGTTTATCTTTTTTTTTTTGTTTCATATTTATAGTTTAGGTGGTTCATAAAATAAGTTGAATAACCTCTTCTATTGGATAATAATAGATACTCCTATACACTAAGATTACCTACTAATTATATTAATGAACAGAACGAATTCATAATTTGAAGTTTATGGATTCTGAATTTGCCACAGAATCCTTTGCTCGTCTTAATTACTGGGTTTACAATTAAATATTTATACATATTTAATAAATTTTCTAGTATTGATACAATATTCAAATAAAAACAACTAGGTTCGCTGAACCCTCACACTATAGGCTAGCTCCGCCTTTGGTAATGAAGGGTTTTACATGGTGATATGAAGGTCTATTAAGATGTGGAAAGAGTTGCAGATTAAGATGGACAAACTACCTGAGACCAGACTTGAAGAGAGGCAAATTTACTGCAGAAGAAGATGAAACCATCGTCAAATTGCATAGCTCCTTGGGAAATAGGTTCTTCTTCTTCTTCTTCTTTCTTGTCATTGATTATTGGCTTTTTTAATTCTAAGATTAGGCGAAATCAAAGACGTACATTTTTTTAATACAAAATTAGCTTTACTAAAGATTTTCGCAAGAGAAACAGTCAACACTTCGTTTTATTTTATTGTTCACTCTCTCTTTTTTTTGTACGTAATTCTAGATTTTCAAACTCTTTATTTTTAAATTTATTCGTATAAATAATATGTTCTTACAGTCACATAAATGCATAACATATTTAAAACCGTAATTTTTACTACTTAATAAAAACCTTTCATTATTTTTTAAAATTTCCTGTCAAATCAAATATCAATCATATAAAAACGAAATTTGTGACACGGCCCTACACCTTCCACAATAATTTTTCATTTTATCACTTTCATGTAATGTATTACAGGTGGTCTTTGATAGCGAACCATTTACCTGGCCGAACAGATAATGAAATAAAGAATTACTGGAACACTAACTTACGCCGAAGAATTTACACCTTCAAATTGCACAAAAAGCTCATCAGAACCACTGCAGTAATGCCTAAAATGGCAGTTGCTGTTGCCGGCGATTGTGAATCCTCGAGAAAACACGGCCGAGTAGGCCGATCCAATGGTAAAAGTTGCAAAAACATTAACTCGACCACCTCTGAGTCCACTGGAAAAGTCAAATCCTCGTGTTCCGGAGGCGGGGGTACCGGAACTATGTGGTCGGAAGATGGTTCAATTGAATCCCTTTTGCCGGAAAATCATATTGCTGATATAGGTAAGAGAAATCTCTTATTTACATATACTTTCAAATGTTTCGTTTTATATGAAGGTGCTTTACTGTACATGCAAGAAATTTAAGAAATAAAAAAAGTTGAAACTTGTAATGATATTAAACATATCGTAATATTTTTGTTACTGTAAAATCATACTATAAAGCTAGTATAAATTGTTGAATTTCTCTAACATAAGTGAAACTTCTAGTTTTGCCGTAAATGTTGTTCAATTTTATTACATGTCATAGGTTAGAATCCCAGTCGTGTTACTCTAAACACTTTTTTGAATTTCCTTGTTATAATTTCTGACTCGGCCTCCACTGCTCGAAGGAAAAGGACTAGCCATGCAACGACACGAACATCAAGCAGAATCAGAGATAAGTGAGCCGAGGAACGAGGAAGGTGAAGACAAGAACGAGAGACACATTAATGTTACACCTGAAAATGATTTTGATAATTGGTGTGACATGAATTTCGATCATTTCTATGAGGAGGAATTATGGGTTGATCAGTGCAACAGCTTGGACTTGGAGTTTGGATCCAATGAAGAGTGTACTTACTGGGATGACATGTTACTTTGGTTATGGAATGATAAATAAGACTTTTACTTTACCTTTTTCGTAAAATTTTAGAAACTTTCTGTTTTATATTTGTATTAGCAAGTGTAGAAAATTTTGAAAATGAACTAATTAAGGAACTTTTCGGCTATAAATATGAGTTTTTAGGTACAATGAAATGGTCCCTAAAACGGTTTGTTGAGTATTAAGATTTTGATGATTAACACAGTTTGTTCAGATAAAATATTCTAAGAACCATGTCTTCAACGTAGCTCCTCAAGGTTGATGATTGTACGTCTTTGCAAGACACTAATGTATTGGGTAAAATATGTTATGGCACATGGCCGTCCGAGAAAGGGACACGTGGAACCCAAGACGGGGATGACTGAAGACTGAAGACAATTGTTTCGTTTTTTACTGGAAAGAATAATGCTCATAAAGATGTGATAAATGCTCTTCTCCCGGTAGCATTAAATAGGGAATATTCATGGCATTAAGAGCAGTTACCCGTTACAAGGAATTTGGCATTTATGTTCACCGTTACATCTTCATCAATGCTCCTCATAATTGACATTAAAGAAGGGCACGACCCTAGGACCTTCTTCGTAGCTATAAATTTAAATAGTGAGCTCAAGTGTCGTTGCAGAGGAGGCGACTATTCTGGAAAACTTATATATATTCTATACAAAACTCAATCCAATCTTAGCTTCTAATTTCTCTATTCTTTTTGTTTTTGTGCCCGGAAACCTTGTTCCCGAAATTATTACTTCTGTTGTTTCGTCCATATCTTAAGGTTAAGTGTTGCATAATTCTTCAATTATTTATTTATTTCAGGATCAAATTAATTCACTTATCTAGAAACCACGTATAAATTCAACTGTACTATTTTACGGGTGAACAGTTTGACGCCCACCGTAGGCCTAGATAGCCATGCAATTAAATTGATCCTTGCCTTTTTTACTAACGTGTTTTGATCATTTTTGTCATAGAAAAAGTCATAAGAAATGGTAGATAAAATTGTTAATGACATGCATAACCCCGAGATTCGAGGGGATCAGCCTCATTCCGAGGACTCAATCAGCGACACCTATAACTAAGGGAATGACGTTGCACCAGTGCATGACAGGTAGTACCCTCGACATGTTCGGGGGACCACTCCCGATGACACTGATGAGGAGCATGTCGTACACGTGGTAAGGGTCTTGTAAGAGCAAAAAATGATCATTCTAGGCCACCTCACGTGATAGGATAAAGTTATGACGGAGTTGAGGTAAGCGTTGTCGGGAGCTTCAAATAATGCAAACAGATGAGATTTGATCCCTCCCGGGATTCCCACGAATCAAACAACAAGGATGGTTGACAATAACACTCCCAGGGGTGAAATTGGCTCTGATGGAGCAGGAGGGAATGGGTCCGGTCTCAATAACGAGAATGATTCTTTCAAGAATGAACTTTTACGGTTCAAGAGGGAAGTAAACGCCTACATGGACTAGAGCTTGGGCGCACCACTAGTGCTGTAAGGCCCGGACTCGAAGAAGTATACTCAATTGCTATACTGGCCAAGTGCGGCACCAGAGTTGATCCCGAAACGGTTCAAAATGCCTGAAATGCCAAAGTATGAGGAACTTCAGACCCCCGGGAGCATATTAGCACCTACACAACATCGATAAAGGGAACTTATTTAGCTCCTCACGAAATTGAATCTCTATTACTAAAAAAATTTGGGAAAACCCTGATGAGGGAGGCCATGATGTGGTATTTGTTATTACCCGAGCATTCCATAGATTCCTTTGAAATGCTTGCGGATTCTTTCATAAAGGCTCATGCCGAGGAAAGGAAAGTACATGCCCGAAAGGCCGACATATTCAGGATAGCGCAAGGAGAGTCCGAGCTGCTATGAAAGTTCATTGCCCGATTCCAGAAGGAGAGAATGTTGCTCCCGGCTGTCCCGGATGAATGAGCGGCTGAGGCGTTCACAAAAGGATTGAATCCAAGAAGTTCAGACGCTTCCCGAAAATTGAAAGAGAGCCTACTCGAGGATCAAGTAACAATCTGGGCGGACATCCACAACCGGTACGAATCTTAAATAAGGATCAAAGATGATTAGGTTGGTTTTCCATCGTCAACCAAAGAACAAGAAAAGAATAAGAAAAAATCAAAGGATGATTATGACACGGACAGACGGACTTCTAGGAGCCAATTTTTGCCTTACAAACGAACCGAAGGCCACAATAGAGGTTTTCAGACAGCGGACAGGTTTATGATGGACATGAGGAATGATCGTGGTCGGAATATTCGATTTTTTGCAAGATAAAGAAGTGACAGGGTCACGGGATCCTTCTTACCCCAAATTATTAGAATACAGCTTCAATGTCAGTATAGTAGAATTAGTATCTACCATGAAAAATATCAAAGAAGCATGATTCCCGAGACCGGTGAGATCTGATTCAAACTAGAGGGATCCTAATTTATGGTGTGACCAGAGAAATTCAATGTCACCTCAAAGAATTCTTGAGTGACCGAGCTAAGAACAACTATAAGCGTAACTGAGACAACGCGAAACCCTTGAAACCCTTGAAAGGGAACGAGATTAACGGGATCACCTTTTCATCAGCAAAGAAGATGAAAGTATCAATAATGCATAGCAATAGGCTCCGGGAAGACGATATCACTTTTATGGAGGAGGACACAGACGAATTGTTACTACCACACAACGACGCACTGGTAATTTCTTTAAATGTGTTAGATTTTAAGATTAAACGTGTTCTAGTGGATCTAGGGAGTTCGGATAATATCATACAATGGAGAGTATTGGAGCATGCTAAACTCACCAGAAGCATTATTCCGGCCACAAAGCTCCTCACCGGATTTAACCATGCAAGTGTGACAACTCGGGGAGAAATTTTATTACTCACAAACGCTGAAGGAGTAATGAAAACAACTCTTTTCGAAGTGGTAGATGATGATATGGGATACAACATTATTCTGGGAAGGCCATGGTTGCATGATATGAAATCTGTACCATCAACATACCATAAATTGCTGAAGTTTCCAACACCCGAGGGAATTAATAAGATAAGGGGTGACCAACTGGCGGCAATGGATATGAATGTATCGGTCTCCAGTAGAAAAGGAAAGGAACACGTGGCATAGCAATTACAGGGCCTGGCACCTACTCTCTAACTAGATGAAGTTAGCCAGGCGTCGGAAGTTAATCAGGTGCCAAGATATTTCCAAGTTCCTGAAGAGACCGATGCGACAAAGTCCACAGTGGAAGAGCTGGAGCAAGTTGAATTATTCGAGGAATTTTTAGAAAGGAAATTCCACCTAGGGATAGGGATGCACCCAGAACTCAGGTTCGACTTCATTAAATTTCTTAAATCTAACGCCAATTGTTTTGCATGGTCGCATGAGGATATGACAGGTATCCCAACGGAGGTAGTCGTACACAAGTTAAGCTTGGATCCCAACATAGCTCAGGTAAGACAAAAGAAATGCCTGGTCGCCGAAGCCAGGAATAATTTAGTCAAAGAAGAGGTAACCCGCTTACTTAATATTAGTTCAATCTGAGAGGTAAGATATCCAGACTGGCAAGCTAATGTAGTAGTAGTTCCTAAAAAGAACAATAAGTTTTGCATATGCGTAGATTATAAAGATCGTAATAAGGCGTGCCCGAAAGACTCGTTCCCACTACCAAACATCGACCAAATAATTGATGCCACGGTCGGGCATAAGTTAATGAGTTTCCTCGATGATTATTCCGGGTACAACCAAATTAAGATGAACCTAAAAGATCAAGAAACAAATTTGTTTATAATGAATTTCGGTATATATTGTTCCTCGATGAGTTATTCCTCGACGATTATTCCTCGACGGTATATATTATTCCTCGATGATTATTCGATATATGAGTTAATGAGTTTCCTCGATGATTATTCCTCGATGATTATTCCGGGTATCAACGACGCGTGAACAAGATGTTTGAAAATCAAATAGGAAAGAGTATGGAAGTTTATATAGATGGTATGCTCATCAAGTCTTCAAATGCAGGTGATCATCTTAAACATCTAGAAGAGACTTTCGACATCCTAAGGAAGCATAATATGAAGGCTTAATCCCAAAAAATGCTCGTTCGGGGTCAACTTAAGTAAGCTTTTGGGATTTCTGGTACCATAAAGGGGGATAGAAGTAAACCCCAATAGGATCAAGGCCCTAGTTCCAGAATATGAAGGTACGCAATCTTCTATTTATTATGTTAGTAAAATTTTAACGGGAGCAGAAACTCGCTAACCACATTTGGAAAAACTGGCCCTAGCTCTCATAGTTGTTGCTCAGAAGCTAAGGTCGTACTTCCAATGCCATCCGATAGTCGTGGTGTCTGCTTTCCCTCTGCGGAATATCCTCTATAAACCCGAGCTCTCGGGTAGATTATCTAAATGGGCCCTCGAAATGAGTGAGTTCAACATAGAATACAAGTCGTAGACTACAATTAAGTCACAAGTCTTGGCCGATTTCAGTTCGGAATTATTGCCTCACGCTACCAAGGAAGAAAAATTGATGATGTTAGAATCGACATCAAGGGTTTAGACCTTATTTTCGGATAGAGCCTCTAACGTAAAAGGCATGGGCTTGGTATAGTCATAATCACGCCTTAGGGGGAAACCTTGAGGCAAGCCATCAGGACGGTCCATTTAACTAACAATGAAGCACAGTATGGAGCTTTGATTGCAGGATTCGAGTTGGCCCGGGGAATTGACTCTGAGGTTATCAAAATCAAATGCGACTCACAGTTGGTGGTAAATCAGGTATACGGGATCTTCAAGACCAAAGAGGAGTGCATGCAACAATACGTGGTAAAGGTTCAAGCTCTGCTGGCACAATTCTGAGAGTGGTCAATAACTCATATCCCAATGGAAGAAAATGCAGAAGCAGACGCATTGGCAGACCTAGGATCATCAATAGAAACAAAGGGATCAAAGTCCGGGTCGGTAGTACAACTGATGAACTCAATCCTGAATACAGATGGTTATTACGAGGTAAATTCAGCTAGTCTATTATGGGA